GGGCCGAGCCGTTACACAATAATTAAAATAGGTTATTCAGTGTAATAGGAAGGAACATGTGTTAACTGAAATAATTGATTTATAAACTACTTCAATTTCTTATAGAAAGAGGTTTGAATAACAGGTATATTTTTCAGACATTCATTTTAAGGTCATTCGAAAGAAATATCTCATTTTCACAGACACTTGGTTCGAATTTTGATCTTCTCGACAATCATTCATAACGCATAGTTGGACTTCACTTGTCCTCCGGTCACACGGATTTTTTTCATTCCCATCTCCATACGCTTGGTTTTACATAGTGGATAATTCATGTTCTTTTGTATGTCATAAATATCAATTTAATGTACTTATTCCAAGTGTGGCACAAAATTGGATGATCACAGACCACAACCTCCATGCATGTTAAAATCCCAACATTGACTGGACAGTCTACATGCAAACTTGTTATACCGTATTATAAAATAGATCTGTATTCATTTTAGGGTATCACTTTAAAGATACTTTATCTACGTCATGATGAATCAAGAAATGACTGCTATTACCACACTTGACGGCCACTTTCCACAAACATTGAAATCTCATATACCGGTAATTCTTTTCCACGATTCAGGGATCAATCTTAATATGGTTCAGCTCGCGAACGGTATTCATTATCGACTGTATTCACATTAGCTATATCAAAGAGAGAATCAGATATAGCGAGCAGGCTAAACAAAAAATTGTTTCAATTTTAAAATCTTTTTGGCTCATGTCATTCCTTGTCATGTCTATTTTTTGAAAATCACAAATACTTCATTCCAGGAAAACTAAAGATTTTTACAATAATTGTACTTATTTTCCCATACGAATGGTTACCATTCTTATTATTTTGGAGAATTTAAACATTTTTCACTCATATTTGCACTTTAAATCATTAATAATTTCACCAATTTATAACATATTGTGAATCTTTTGGGAGATATTGTATTTGATATTGTAAGGAATATATTGGTAGGTCAATTATACATGTTGCTTGTAATTTTGTCACCCACTATAGATCATATGATTCTGTCTTTAACAAATCTTGAAACTTTAACTGCCAAAGAGTAAAAGTCAATTTTGCTGTTTAAAATTTGGTTGATTTTTAAAACATCCTTTACCATTAGTTCGACTTCGCTTCTTAAATGAGAGCTTCGTCTTTGTAACTAGACTCTGCCAGAGACATGTATATGTCTCTGACTCTGCGCGCAGGTATGAGCAAATGAATAAATGAAAAACAAGCAAAAATCACAAGTCGACGGTCGTTTTTTAAAAAGGAATCATCGATGAGGTCAGTTGAATCTGAACCAAAGGCATCATCTTATACATCATACATAATGTACATAGTGTTGCGTAAAAACATCGTTCCAACAGGTTCTACAATGTATATGTCATTGTCGGAGCAGTTCGTTTTTCTCGAGAGAACAAAATATGACATTTTAATCCATTAGCTTGCATTCCTCAAAGATTAGATTATATTGGAAGCTTTTAAACAAGAAAACTTTAATTAACAATCACGTACATTACACGTGGCTTTTTAATAGAAAAATAAAATGTCATGGTGTCAAAACTCGATATTTTGGTACATTATATCTCTTATTTAGGACATTTGAATATAGTGATATCTTTCAAGTTGCATTGTATGTTTGAAACAGTTCAAATTCAGGCATATTAATCGTTACAGTTCTAGGTTGACAAATTGCAAGCAATATACAATGTATATACGATTTTCCAATAAATAGTTATATGTAATTAAATGTATTGGACCGAAATACCAGAACATGAGGCCATAAGTTCACTCGAAATGTTTCTAAAAATAATTTTTCTGACAATAATTTGGTAAGATCCCGCAGATCTTAGCTAAACATTGAGCGTCCAAGAATTGAGTACATGGTCCGGGGTCTGATTGATGATTTTTTGTCAATCAACACCTTTCTTGAAGTGAAGGAATCTGCTGTTTGATATAACTGACCTTCCTGCCTTCGTTTATAAGTCGAATGAAACGTATTTGGTATTATCACTGGTACCCTTCGAAGCTTTTTAAGGGACATGAATTTTTTTCGGAATTGTCGTTTTTTAAATTAATTTATTTTGATTTTTGAATTAGATTTTTTAATTCTATTTTCACTTCAAAAATCAAGACATATGCACCTCCCTTAATATTGCTTCAAATGTTGCTGCGCTATCGTGTGCTACGGATCCTTCATGTACCATGGACTACAACACGTTATTTGAAGCGATACTCACCAGCCTGCATGCTTGTCAGGAAGAGGGGAACTCTTAGAGGTGACCTCATCATAACGCCCAAACGTGTCAGGAACACATAGATACTTGAATGATCTTGATTGGGCGTCAGGTTGCAGAGAAATCGTAATTTTACTGAGTGGCTTCACGAAAAAATAAAAAGGCTATACGCCAAGTTAATGTCTGAGAAACAATACAAAATGTCGATGCACTGATTACATAATTCATAACTTCAACCTTATAGCTTAGAAACCTAAATCATATATTCAAAATCATTTTATATTATTTTCTGTCGCATTGTGTACTCCAAATTGTGAAAAAAATGATTTTAGTTTTTGGTAATTTTTTGACCTCTGCTAATGACAGGTATAATTCAATCTTGACACGTATACAAGTGAATATTCCGAAGCACTCGATTTGTTTTGTACTACGGAATATAACTTATCATTTCAGTAAAAATGATGACTTTATCCTGCGGAAATGGAGATTGTGTTCCACAACAAGTTCAGAGGGCAACACAATATAGTGCAGTTTTCTAGAGATAACAATTTCATATCTGCGGGTAGATAGCGTGTTTACATTTGCTAAAACGTGAATATAGAACAATTGTCATAACTTTCTGAAACTCTTATTTCACACAGGAAACTCTCTCATCTATGTGAGATCTTAAAAGATGGTAGCCCACTTGAAATATACAACATTTATTAATGATCAACATATGACCACCACATCATGTTTTGCTAAATATGCAAAGTCTATATGTACAGGGTGGGCCAAACATTATGACTGAATGTATAAAATATCAATTTCGAATTGATTTGAGTCATGACTATTATGACTGTAAAATTGTCGCTTTGAATTTCATCCTGAATTCTGTAATTGTTCAATAGACCCCTAGTGCCCGTCTACCTTCATTTTTCAAAAACTCGTAAACATTTGTAAAACTAATTTGCGCATATCCTGCCAAAAATTTATGGAAATTCATGCATTTTCAAAATGTTATATCTGAATAAAAAATGTGGACGGGTTATTGGTCAACCCTGTATATACTTATCACATCAGGAGAGAAATGGTCTTGCAGAAATATTTCTTCAACACATCTTTTACCTATAACAAAATCTTGAACATGAGCTCAATGAACTAACATATTTGATAAAAACTGACATTTTGAATGATTTCAGAGGGTGATATCATGCCTTGAGGGAAAATGTCGAGTAATTGCTCTAAAGGTGGATTCAAAATAAGTATCCTCTTTATTCCATGGGACACCTTTTACAGACAAATCTAAGATGAAACTGAGAAAGCAATTCTAAATTTGCGGGTCGCATTTGTGGGCCACGCTGTAGCTAACTGTTAACTTAATGGTTGGATCTAAATGGTTTTCTTATTCAAAACAAGTTCAATTAATTTCGATTGATGTGAATAATTAAAGGACTGCAACCGTGACTCTCAATTACATAGAGTGTTCAAGTGATTGGCTTCATGGATAATTATATATATCAATAAATATTTAAGTCAACCACAACTACATAAATTATAACGTTTCATATTTCAGTTTCTTTTTTCAGGTTTGTGTCGGGTTTCACTTCTTTGATTTCCAATACAAACGTGTGTGTAGCACTCATCTCAATACACTGTGACTGCGCTGACTGGGTTGATACGATCGGTGTCGATACGAATGATTTAAACTTATAGTGCCGATAGGTGGAGTTCACATTGCGCTGACATTGAGCATTCTGTTCCATTGTTATGCATCGGAAGAAATCCAAAACTGTTTTTCTAAAAGGTACGTTAATTGAGTAGTAAAGAATAAAATTCAAAGTGAAGTTTAAACTTTGCATAAAGTTTGTGACGATAGCTGCGATTTCAAAATTGGGACTCGTGGACGATTCTTCCCGAAAAATACTTATTAACTTCAAAACTTCAGCAGGGAATACTAAGAGCAAAAATATGATAACGATAGCAACGAGAATGTGTGTTAAACGATTGCTCGATGACGTCACTGATCTGTTACCATGACAATCAGGCATTCTGAATGATTTTCTTAATGTCTTTATCAAACAAACATTACTGATGATTAGAAGGATGAAGGGGATGACGGCTCCGATTAGACTCCATAACAGTTTATATACAAGATACCCCTGTTTGTAATCAGGATCGTTTAATACACCAATATCTGCCATATACATTCCTTTTGATTTTGTTCCATAGTTTCTGATCTTTAGTGTCCAGTATCTAGGAAGAGCCAAGATGGCCGATATAACATAAACCAAGACTAACGTGACCTTGACCTTTGTCAAGGTCATACAACTCCGTGCCCTTAATGGAAAAAGCACGACCGTGGCTCGACTAACGGCCATAACTACAGTTAACGCTGTTGAGGAGAGTATGAACATATTGATGATCCCAGAATGGTACACTCTGTAGTAAAGCATGAAGCATTCTGAGTCGTAGATAATAGTTCGGTGCATAAAGCCAAGAGGAAATTCAGCCACACAGAAAAGAAAATCCGAAACTGCCAAAGCAATAAGGAAAATATGTCCAGACTTTTCCATTTCATCCATTTTAGCTTGAAGTTGTTTTCGGGTTAGTATTATCATATTAAGTAGATTACCCAATATTCCCAGTGATAATACTATCGGTAAAGCAATCGTCTCAACCCAATACCTTACAAGCGTGGCAGAGGTTTCCCATTTATCATCTTCTCCAAAATCGGTCGTATTTTCGAAATGCGATGTGACCACGTCATGTTCATACGAGTCCTCATTCATAGTCACTGGTTTGATATCTAACCCTGCACTGTCTAATTAAACATCACGGCATTCATTTCCTTCTTGGTCAATGAGATCATATTGACATTCAAACGCTTTAAATAATATGCGGGTAATCTTAGTCTCCTTAGTCTATTGTTGAGAATTAACGAAGTTTGATGCCCTAGTGATTTCTCTTCGCGTTGTATGTCCATCCCAATTAGGCTTGTCTCTTAAGAATTATTGTCGATGCACTTATATTACACTGGTGATCCACTCGATTACGCTGGTTTCGGTAACAAAATGTCGGAACATCGAAGCTACGATTTTTCTTCTTTACTTATTTCACACCTTGTAGGCAGAATTCTCACGGCATTTTTAACACAAACGTGTATCAGTAACATATGTTTAAGAAAATGTACATATTTGCGAACAAATAGTTCAGAAGACAACAGAATCGTCGATTTAATCCTTACTTAAGTTACAGAAACGGTATTTCGAAAAACAGTTAAGATCTGCACTTTTAACCCAAACCGTTTATGTAACCTAAGTGAGGAATCAAAACGACGATTCTGTTGTCTTCTGAGCTATTTTTTCGCAAATATGTACATTTTCTAAAACATATGATACTGATACACGTTTGTGTGAAAAAACGTCGTGGGGATTCTGCCCACAACGCGTGAAATAGGGAAAAAAAGAAAAATCGTACCTTCGACGTTCCGACATTTTGTTACCGAAACGAACAGTTTCGGTAACCAACGTAATCGAGTTGATCACCAGTGTATTAGCTGATTTGATGTCGTAGTGCTTCGATTGCGTCAACCAACGACTGGAAGCATCTGAAAAATAATGTCAGATTAATCTCAAAACGATACTTAGCGTGTTACGTGAAACGTTAATGTGAATCGTATTTCAGTTTATCAACGACTTTTGAAATGAGTTATTAGCCAACTAGCAGATGTCATCTGAACAAGAGTCTTTTATTCTCAGCAAGAAAAATCAAATTCTGAGAAACGTTGTCTCATAAAATCCCCAGTCCATCAATGATCGAAAGACGTATGTATTAAACAAATACTGGATGATCGTGAGCTTGATATGGCAGAACATAGATGTTTGCCAGATCGTTCTGTAGTAGGATCTGATTCTCATAGGCTTCAAAGAACTACTACAAAAGAATCTGACTGGGGTCGATGTGGCAGAATACCTATTCGAGAAAAAAATATTGGGCGAGGATAGGTATTCTGGTCATATCCAGCTCCTGATCATCCAGTATTTGTTTTATTATGCATTATGCATGAAAATAGCGACGGTTATGTCCACCATTTGTGACAACGTTATCTGACTTTACCGTTGTCATTCCGGTGTGCAGATGAGGTGCTCCCGATTTATTTTTTAATAATCGTAATAAACTTGTATACCGGTATTTGTTTTTGATGAAATTGCTTTGTGGTTATGCTACACATTTATTACTATCAGCATCATTTTACAAATCGAAATAACAAAAAATTCATTGTTTCAAACTCCACTTGATTAACAAGAGGTCATTGTCAAACTCAGTTCAATTAATCTGTAATACAGTGTTTAGTTCATATGTCCAGTCAGACTAGTCTTTTTACTAATAAAGATTATTGTAAGTGTTACTAGAATTGAGTTTTGTACGGTATATGTATTATTCACTTGTATATCTCATATTTCTTATACTTTTGAGTATAAGTATAATAAAGGAATCGTCCCCGTGGTGACCTCGGATCTGGGTCTTAACATTTTGAAATTGTTTGTTCGGACTATGGACGACACTAGCAACTGGCGTGCTCTTATATTTGTTAAGGAGTAATATCACCAAATCGAGTCTTAAAGTATTATTAAACAAATAAATGTTCAGGGGAAAAATAAATATAAATATACAATAAAAAAGAACTTTGTAACTAAAATAGCTACTAGTGAAATCGGTTCCAATAATTAGAGTTTTAAAACGTTTCAACATTTTTTACGTTTAACAAATGTAAACAAATGAGGTTTGATCACTAATAAGTGCGTTTTTGGATTGCCCGCGGTGGTGGTGCATTGCGCAATAGGTAATGAGATTTTTCCCAAGGTATCAAGAAAAAGACCAAAAAGACCCGTAGCGCAAATTACATGATCACATGCGTTCAACAAAAAACCTCATTGGTTGACACACGCGGGCAGCCGATAAGGTTGCCACAGTGTAATTACACAGTGAATTAGCGATTTAATTGAGTTTGGATGAACTGCTTTTGTTGAAAACGCTCGGTCGATTGAGTATCCTGTTAACAATAGGATAGTTTTTAAATAGCAGAAAAAGCAATGGAATCTAGTGCTGCCATCTTTTATTCATCTTTTAATTTGGGCTAGAGTTCCATTCACTTACATGCTAAAATCTTGGAAAAGAGGCTTAATTTCATGATTTATCAAAGAGTCTTAGTTGAATCTATACTTAGAGGTTATGTCACTATGACGTGAAATATGCCTGAGTTCTCCCAATATAGGCCGACCTTGGGAGGCTCTATATTTGGGCAAGAACGAAGGCATATTTCACGTCATAGTGACATAACTGATGTATTACATGCCTTTGTTCCCATGGTTACTTTGTATCAATGACGTGACGTCATGATATTATCATGGTTATTAAAGAAATCTAATATCAAAACGAGGTAAGCGGGCTATATCGGGGTAATCGGGCAATATCGGTGGATATAGCTCGCTAACTTTCCCATTGACTTCCATACAAATGCTTCTCTAGGTATGTAATACACATCTATATAAAACTTGAATGATATACCACATGATGACCCAGTTTATGTATATGTTGTGATTAAACATGCAAATGTTGGTTGACATACAAATAATCCAAGGTTTTTAAGAATTTTAGCATTGCATCTATGGAGATTTGGCCCAAGTTTTTTTTAATTGTCATAAAAAATTATTCAAATTACATAACATGCTTATTCTTTGAAATAAAAAAAATTATAAAAAAAAAAATTACATAACTGTGTAAATCAAAGCTAATATAGGAGAAAACAGTTCACTGAATTCAAAGATGCCATTTAAAAGAAGGTAATGTAAGTCATAGAGGTCTAATATGTAAATCTCTTAAAATCTCACGAAAAACGAGATTTAACGAGATTTCAAAAGCTATATGGAGACTATACTATTGTATTCAGTTTTGAACAGAATACTCAATCGGCCGGGCGCCGGCCGATGAATTGGAGCAAATGTGACCAAGGTATTATGCCTGGGTCACATATGCTCCTATTCATCGGCCGGCGCCCGGTCGATTGAGTGTTTTGTTGAATATTGTATCCAATTTTGAACAAAATACTCAATCGGCCGGGCGCCGTAGTGAAAATCGGAGCAAATGATACCCACGTCCCTTTTGACTTGAACTTTCCAAAGCTTCAGATGATAGGGGGTCTGGTAAACCAAAACGTTTTTACTTTTTAATTTACATAAGTATGCGTTGTAGTCAGGAGAAAGCACATTTTATTTACTTGAAAATGTAACAAATGTAGATTATTTCAGCTCACATTTGCTTTTGGTGTCACATATTGAGAGTATGAAAAAGTGACATCTAGCAACTAAAGTAACACATGATTTAATGGTGTGTTGTTATTTACCGACACGCTAATATGTCAGTGGTAATAGATGTATCACAAAATTATTAAATATACTTTGACTTGAGTAATATTAAAGGCTGTCAAAGGCGGTGTTATTGATATTAGGAAAATATTATGAACACTTATTGAAATCCATCTTTATATATCGACATATATTGTTTTTTAAATATCATGTTATCAACAAGTAGATTCATGTCACACCGGAATAGCCTGACAACGGTAAAGTCAGATACCGTTGTCACAAATGATGGACATGTAACCGTCGCTTCAACTCTTTAATCACTTGGTCCTCATTTCGTGGGATTTTATCGCCGCTAATTCTGTGCATGAATTAAGCTATTGTGATGATGTATCATGTGTAATCACAATTTCGATCAAATTGGGTCGTGAATCGTCACAATATAGCGTCTTCGATATCGTCAATGACAACGGAATCTGAATTTGAAATAATTTACAAAGAAAACGCCATATGGTAATACAGCGTCCGTTGTCCCGTATCTCATTTTGATCGGCTAAATTAAAGAATTTATTTCAATGGTAGAACATTATTAACTATACAATGAGTATAAAGAAAATTTGATTGATTGTTTTCCAAAGGAATTTAGTCTAGGTGCTCTTTTAAACATACAGTTCATGAAAATCTAATTGGAGCCATTTGTGACAGCGGTATCTGACTTTACCGTTATCAGGCTATTCCGGTGTACAATCGGGATAGTATTGCTAGAATCCATTTTCATAAGTACGAGAATGGGGGTTAAAGCTTATACTAAGGCCTTTTTTAAGGAGGTGGATATGTTATGATCCTTATAAAATACCATTTGCTGAGAAAACTTCCGGCTTTCGGGTCGAAAAATGTCTATCATCACAAGGGGTCAAAAAACGTAAATATTTTGATTCGAACTTTTTTACATTTTATAAGAGACAGAATTTATTCGAAGCATACAGACAAAAAAATTATCCTAATGTAAACATTTACTATAATTGTCTGAAAATGTCGGTGTTTTACACAAGTGTGTTTTTCAGATTTTGTTTGATTTTTCAAATATGAGCAAAGCAGATTCAACAAAATTGTATGGAATATTTCTAGGTAATTTATGATTGCAAACATGTGAGTTTTTTTACCATTTAAAACATTTTATTACCAGACACACCCGGGATTTTCGCGTCATAATTATTCCTCCGCTAGAGGCGCTGCGAGCGCGCAGCCATTTTGCCGGTCAATTCGGGTCAAATACTGTCCAACTTTACACACGATTTTCTAGTAGTTGATGATGACCTTTAACATATGTAATGGTTTGTATATAAAGCTTACATGTATCTGGATTAATATATTTTTATCTTGTGCAGTTTAAACAATTCGTTTTCTTCCAACTCTATAAGGAATTACATCATATTTTTTTTCGAAAATCAGCGGTAAAACTTGACACATGTTAGCTATTTCTTCTCTAATTGTAATTTGAATTTTAAAATTCCGCCTCGGCCAAGACTCAATTTGTATATTTAGCTCAAACATGTTTCAAATTTGATAAAGATTCATCCATAAATGAAAAAATGCCACCGGCGCAAAAAATGTTGTGTTTTCGTCAAATCTTTGCTGACGATGCGGTTTTTAGTTTACGAAGAAATTGCCCCTCCATAGTGAAGCCGTATCTTTACTAATATTGAACCTATCAACTTGAAATAAACAGGATTAAAATAAG